CAGCCATAAAAAATAAGAAATTAGAGACATTTATAGCTAAATGGATGCACATTGAGGCCATACTTTTAAGTGAAATAAATAGGACACACATGTATAAATACCGATTAGTTTCTCTGGTATGATAAACTGAAAGTGTAAATAAGGTCTAAAAGGTGTAATAAATAATGTGAAATAGGGAGATAAGGGGTAAAGAGAAAGAGGAAGTGGGAGGGGTAGGGGAAAGGAAAGAAGGGAATGGAATTAATATGAGAAAATGGAAACAAAGTCTTTGTAAATAGGGAGAGATGGAGGGGTTGAAGGGAGGGCAGGGGAATGGGGAAAAATAAGAACCAAGAGAGATTATGTAAAGATGCAGATTTCCAAAGATGAATATCACTATATTGTATAACTAAAATGTACCAATAAAATAAAATTTTTTTAAAAAGTTATGGTTGTCAGATATTGAGTCCCAGAATCAGGAAAGTGACTAAGACATCTCCCTCTGTTTTTGCTTCCTGGGTGCCACAAAGTGAGCAGCCTCCTCTGCAGTGTGCTCCCACCATGATATGCTGCTTCACCACAGGCCCAAAAGTTAATGAGCCAGCTGACTGTACTAAACTATCTGAAATTGGGCCATTTAAACCATTCCTTTACAAAATTATCACTAGTATTTTCTCACAAAGATTATTACAGATACCTTAAGAAAGCTCCTTTTGAATTCCCAGCTCCCAGTAAAATGTTTATAAGGCAGGGACATGTTTTTTTTGATACTGGAGATTGAACTCAGGACTTCATGCTTGCCAGGTAGGTGCTGTGCTGCTGAGCTAAATCCCTGACCCATGGACATTTTAATATGTGATTGAGTGAATGAATGAAACTTTGAACAAAGTTGATTCCACTCCAGCTTCCTGGAACTCTGTCCATTGTGTATAGGGTCATGTGCTGAGTAATGGCCAATGTTCAAGATTAGGATACTTGGAGGACTGGGTGACTAGAAAGGAAATGGCAGTCAGGAGTAAAAAAGATAGTTGGTAGATCTGAAAAAAATATGTCAGTATCACTGAGGACTGAAGTAGGTCTACAATGGCGTGCTCTGTGTGTGTGTGTGTGTGTGTGTGTGTGTGTGTGTGTGTGTGCATATGCAGGGAGGAGCCTCTTAAGTGTAATTGAGTTTAAATTACTTCCCAACAGGTTTGAAGAAGGGGTATGTTCAAAACTAGTTTTATTTTATTTTTTTAAATTTCTGTTTTTTACAACCAGTGTTTTCATTCTGTTATCCCTGCAATAACACCTTCACTGAGAATCGCAGGGCTTGTCTTCCCTATAACTTTTTTACTAAATTTCATTTATTAAGATGAAATTTATATACAGTAAAATATAGCTTTTGTAATATACAATAAATATAATTTATTAGTCACAACTAACATAGAACTTAATAATCCCTAAAACCCTCTTTTGCTCTTTGTGGTTAAGCCTGCCTCCACCCCAGGTTCTGGAGTCACTTATCTGTTTTCTATTCCTATCTTTTTCCCTTTTCCAAAATAATGTACAAATGGAATCAATCAGTCACCATTCGTTTGGATTAGGCCTCCTTCTCCTAATATTATGCATTTGAAATCCACCCATGTGGTTGCATGTGTTAGTATTGTTGCTGAATATTATTCCATTGTGTAGATAAACAAGATTATTTTTTCATTCACCAGTTGATGGACTTTGGGTTTTCTCTTTTGGGCTGTTTTTAAAAAATGCTGTAGTGAACACCGGTACACAGGTATTTGCTCATGTTTTCATGACATGTATTGCCAATTCTCTTAGGTAGGCAACTAGGAACAGGACTGCTTGAATGACATTAGTTTTTGTTTTATGTGTCTGGGGGTCTATGAGTGTATTTTAAGCATTGCAGTGACATGGACAGATGGTGTTTCAAAAAGACCCTTGGAACAGTGTGGAACATGGGAAGACAGGAAGCAGAGAGAGTGGTTAGGAAATTGTTGATTTTTCAGTCTGTGTTGTTTCAGAAATTGCTGTTTTTCACTGTCTTCTGTGGAATAAAAGACCTAGAGTAACATGAAGATTCTGTGTCTTTTATTGGTGCTCAGTTTCTCCCAATAGTGTGAACTTACCTTTTTGTTTGGGCTAAATGGTAATAAAAGAATCAACATCAATTCTTACCAATCTAAGTCTGCATCAGTGCTTTTGTCATGACATTTTCTTGTCACTCCATTATTTTGTTATTTTCCTACTCTTAACATTTCAAGCATAACGCGGTGAGGGAAATAAAGATTTGAAATGGAACCTGTCCCTTATCTTTCTCTCTGTGCTTTTGGGAAAAGGTAAAATACTTGTAACGGTGTTTCCAGGTAGGGGTTCTGAGAGCTTCTTTCCAGGTCCTTGGTGTCCTGAACAAAGAATTGGACAAGACACACAGGAAAGGCAGTGGGCGTATAGATCTGTTGAAGGCATAAAGGACTCTCTACAGGGTGTGAGTGGGCTAGTGAAGAGAGCTGACAGTGAACCCTCAGGATAAAGGGAAAAGAGCCATTAGTATCCAAAATACCTGGATTGGTCCCCACCTCATGTAAGTGTGGCTTTGGGACAGTTGTCCTATCAAAAACTCACTTGACCTCATGCTAGATAAATTGTCTTATTAAAAAACTCGCTTAGGGGCCAGGGATTTAGCTCAGTGGCACCGCGCTTGCCTTGCAAGTACAAGGTCCTGAGTTCAATACCCAAGAGCACCCCCCCAAAAAAAACCTCACTTGGCCTCTTGCCAGCTGTAAATGAAGTATCAGGAACGGTTCTTTTGATTGGTTGTGCCTATTTATAACCAAATGATTAAGAATGACACCTTTTGATTGGTCGTGTGAACAGAACAAGATTCAAACAGTCTTTGTAAATAGGGAGGGGTGGAGGGGGTGAAGGGACAGCAGGGAAATGGGGAAAAAATAAGAACCAAGATGGATTATGTAAAGTTACAAATTTCCAATGATGAATGTCATTATAATGTATACCTAAAATGTACCAATAAAATTAATTTTTAAAAAATGTTCAAATGAAGGATTAGAAATAGTACCTTCTGATTGGCCCCATGAACAGTGCTCAGGAGCCATAAGCCTGAGCTGCAAGCTCAGGAATCATCTTGGCCCTCATGTTCTTCACATGGCTTCTCTTTTTAGAAAACATTTCACTCAGCCGGTTAGCCATGGGTTTTTTATAACTTCTTTTTATGACAGATTCCTTAAAAAACTATTCACCTTATTTAGATCAACTGAAAATTAGAAGCACAGGAGATCAAACTCTTAAGAGATACAGCTCAAGCCTCATCACTTGTAGATGAGAAAACTGAAGCCGGGCAGCTGAAGAGCGTTCACCAGGGTTGCATCATGACCACAGAACTCACTTTTGTTTCTGCAGCTTGACCATGTGCTTTCCCTGAAAAAGAAGGAAGCAGTGTGCCTGGGGGGTTCGGGAAGGGCAATGCTTGTTTGTTTTCAACAATTTTGAAAACCACTTCGGGCTTTTTATACATTTAAAAATATAAATAGTCATAATAATATCAAACTTGAATTTCAAAGTTTGGTGACTGATGGAGTGAGCACAGCAAAAATGTAGTGATCCAGCCGTGCATGTGTTGCATACTGTCATTTCAGCACACTGGGAGGCTGAGACAGGAGGATCAGAAATGTGAACCCAGCCCGGGCAACTTAGCAATCTAGTGAGACCTGTCTCAAAAAACTTAAAAAGGGGCCAAGGTGTAGCTCATTGCAAAAACCCTGGGTTAAATCCTTAGTACTACAAAAATAAACAAATAAAATAAAGGAAAGAAAGAAAAGAAAAAAGAAACTGAGATGGGAGTGACTTTAACCAAATGCTGTGGGGGCTCATTAGAGAGCTAAGTAAGGAGACTTTCAAAAGACTCATTGATGAGGCAGTGTGCAGGGGTGTGTGTCGGGAGGGGATGTCTTTAGGAAACAGAGCTCCTCTTCATGTACACAGCCGAAAAGTTCTTTGATTAGGTCTGCATTTAAGACATGCTACCACCTGGGAGAAGTTTATGGTTTGGAGAAGGACTAAGTACACAAATGAGTATGATGAAAGCTATATGAGAAAGGTCCACCAAACAGAGATGTGTAAGATAAACGGGTGGAGAAAGAGAGAAACACAAAAAAGAGGGAGAGAGAGAAAGAACAAATAGACAGACTAAGTGATATCAGCAGAAACTTTACAAGGACTGTGGTTTTAAGTTAAAGAATAGGCATACTTTAACTGACAAACAAAGAATAGGCCATTTTATTTAGAGAAAGTAACATAAGAAATGGTGCAGAGCATACAAAGGGGGAACATGGGGCAATCCAATTGGCCCGAAATATGGAAGTTAGCTGAGAGCACTTCTCAGGGATTAAGGGACTCCAAGCAGAGGGAGAGAGGGGAACAGCCAGATGGAGGAGCAGTCAGGACACACATGACATTTATCCATTACATTTGCTGTCTTGTATGGGGTCAGTTGATGGCACCCCAAACATCAAAGGTCTACTGATTACAGATCACTACAGCAGCTCTAATAATCAGAAAAAAGTTTTAAATATTAGGAGAATTAGCAAAGTATGACACAGAGACGGGAAGTGAGCACATGCTGTTGGAAACTTGGTACCCATAGATTTGCTTGAAATAGGATGGCCATGAATCTTCAATTTGTAAAAAGTGTGGCATCTAGAAATGCAGTGAAATCAGGCACAATAATACAAGATGTGCTTATGTAAGGAAGAGCTGTGGCATCTTCCTTGATAGCTACCAATTTGTGGTGCCCTTCTACTGTCTAGGGGAGAAAAGAGAAGGTGACCTACAATGTACTGGCTCCTGCAGTTATGTATTCGAGGCTATTGTGAGGCTTTGCACTATTTCTAAATTACTATTCTAAGTAACGATTTCCAGATAATAAATTCAAAATAAAAATCTCTTCATTTTCAGCTAAGAAAAAGAAACCTAAACTTTTAAATACATTTGATAAAACTATTAAGGCTGAACTTGATGCTGCAGAAAAACTCCGTAAAAGGGTAAGTTGATAATTTTGTTTTGCACACAAATGTACAATATTTTCATTGGTAAGTAAGCTCAGGCATTATACTGTTTTATACTACTACTAATAATAATAATAGTAAAAGAAACATCCTTTGAACAGAGTGGATTTTTCCCCAGGCACATCATTGTATTTCCATCTGAAATGAATCAAATGGAAGAGAATCACAGCCAATGGCCAGTTCACCTTCAGGATAGCTGACTTAGGTGTTACCCACCTCTGTCATGTTACAGTTGTATGGATTTGAGGAAACACTTGACCATTCTGATCCTTAGCTTGCTTATTTAAAAAAAAATGAGAATAAGTACTCTTGCTTGTTTCTTCTTGCTTTTTAATAAGGATCAAATGAGATCAAAGGAACAAAAAGTATCAACACTGTCAAGTACTATATTAGTAGAAGTTTTTAATTATAGCACCTCAGTGTAAAAAATGAAATGAAGTTAAAAAAACAAAAAATAGATTAGGGCCAGGGGATTTAACTCAGTGGTGCTGCCAACTGCCTCGCAAGCACAAGGTCCTGAGTTCGATCCCCAGTACCCCCTGAAAAAAGATTAGTTCTGTACTCTTGGAATAGTTCTTATTAGGTGAAATGACACCAAATTTAACATTCTTCTCACTTAAGATTAACCTCATGTAACCCTAGTTTCCATGTGACTATGTTTGCTTTGTCATCAGCTGATTTGAAATATTTGCATTTCTTTAGAGATATTACAGTTTTTGATAATAATTTGACACTAAATTGAAATCATTTGTTCTCATAATTTGTTCGTATTCATGTAATAATTATCAGACCCCAAAATACTCAGTATGATGTAGTTAAGATCTTTAATTAATCATCTGCTTGTTTTTTATGAAAATTTCTTTTTCTTTATTTTGGACTTAAATTTGGACTGTGTAATACCCATTAGTTTTCCTGTGAAATGCTTTTTTATCAAGTAGACATTAGCAGCAAAGGGAGAGGAGGGCAAAAGGTATCTAAGTATGTAACTGTTGTGGTTTAGCTTTGGAATGTCCTCCCAAAGCCTCATGTGTTCAGAAGTGTGACTTTTGGAAGAGGTGATTGGATGGGGTGCTGTACTCATTGAAAGATTCATCCACTGGTGAGTTCAGCAGCTGAGTGTGCTGTTGGGAGGTGTGGCCTGATTGGAAGAGTGGGTCCCTGGAGACCCGACCTGGAAGAGCTCATCTCCTTCCCTAGCCCCTCACTCCTCTCTCTGCTTCCTGGCTGCTGTTATGTGAATAGTTTCCCTTCACTGTGCCCCGCGGGCAGGCCATTTCTGCCTTGGAGCCAGCCAGCCATGGACTATAACTGTGAGCCCCCAAAAACCTCTCCTTTAAGTTGTGGGTGTTGGGTATTAATCTTAGTGACGAAGACCAACAATAATAAAAGCACATATGTTAGAAACTGAAATGTGACAAAAATGGGCTTCCCACATGTCATTGGAAATGAACCAGTCAGCAAGAAGGCCTTTTCAAATAACACTAGATAAGGTTCCGAAGCCAAGGTTTCGGCTTACTGTGCTCTCACCAATGAGTAAAAATGTAGTAGCTCCAAAGAATATTATAGCAAAGTCATCATTCATTTCCCCTAACTTTAACCAGATTGAAAGATTTCTAGTCTAGTTTACTGAACTTTATGAAGTGAAACTATCCACTGTATGTGGTGAATTTGCATTTCTTAACAGAGATCGAGCAAGAATCATCTTCTGTCCCCTCACTTAGCATCCTCTACTTTTTTCTGGACTAAATGTCATTGACGTGAAAATGTAGGATAACAGTTGCACAGGTAACTTTTGGAATAAAACACATGTGAACAGTTTTAGAGGAGGATTTTTATGTGGTTATAATGAATGCAAAAAAGGGATCAGTTATCAAGGGGTACATAAGTCAGTGGGACATAAAGGAACTGGATCCACCCATGGGGTATTCCCCAGCCCATTTGGAGAAATTATGGTGTTTTCCTCCATGAGTGCTGCGAATCTGTAATAAGATAAGTAAAGGAGGAAGAAGTGGCCACATATGCAACTCTTCATTCTGAAACAACTGGGAGCTGTATTGCTGACCGAATCAGCAGCATAATTATGTCTTTTTAAAAGTTTGTTTTTACAACTAGTACTTCCAAAGGTACAATCTGGTGTACTGGAATAACTGAAGACCAAGCCAAAGCAGGGCCATGACATAGCCAGGTCGGCCTCAGTTCACATCTCAGGTTCAGGTACTGAATGAACTATGAAAAAGTACATGGTCACTTTTTTTCACCCAAAAATGTAGATCATATTTTAATGACCTATTTTTTTACGGTAGTATTTATTGTTTAAAGTTTCTCTCTAACCCCCAAATGGATTTGAAATAATATACTGAAGTATATTTATTTCTTCCAATCACTTACGATTATTTTATTATTATAAATGAAAATGAAAAAGGAAAAATGTAACCAAGTCACAGTAAGGTTAATACATAAATGTTCAGTTCATACCATAGGCTCTAAATCATACGAGCACTGAAGTCACCTGAACTTTCTTGTAGGCAGAACAAGGGAAATAAAAACAGACTGAAAGATGAATAGGCTTCATCAGCATGGCTGTCTACACCAAATCCAGAGAGAAATATTCTGCCGTGATCTTGGTGAAGGATGCACCGATGGATGCAGAATTCCTAACCACATGCCCATGGATTCTGCAGTACATCTGCACGACTGTGTCGTACTCTCCTTTACCCCCACCCATTGGCCTTATGCCAAAATCTGTGGCCCAGTCACATCCTCTCCAGTGAACTCTCTCATTCCTAGGACAGAAAATAAGCTGGGGAACAGATAACTTTTAGGCTATTATTTTTACAAGTGCCATTTTAAATTAGAATTGCCAAATAGTATTTGGTACTATATAAGATCTTTAGAAAGGAAATTCTTTCAGACTACATCAAACATTGAGGTTGCAGGCAGTTGAAGTTGAGAGCAGGATGCACGGTCCCTTAGGAAGGTATCACAGCCTCTGTGCTGAGGGAATTCAAAGGATGCCTAGGACACAGCCAAAATAGGACATTATTTTTACAAGCATGAAGGTATCAGAAGAACCATGTGCTTTATCAAATTTGTTGTGAGTATTGTTATACCTGTTTTCAATCTGGCAGAGGTACAAAAATACTTTCAATATTTACCATTTAAGTTATAGAATACATAGTAGACTGAAAATATCCTTCCATAAAAATGTTCATGGGCCAATCCCTGGAGCCTATATATGTCACATTATTTGGGAAAAGGTTCCTTGCAAATAGTATTAAGTTAAGAATCTTGAGATGAAATTATCCTGAATTTTCCATTTGTACCCTAGATTCAATCATATTTTTATAAATAAGAGAAGAAAGGGAAATTTGATCCAAACAAACAGAATGTGGCACACACATATAAGAGAATTCAATAGGAAGAAAGAAGTGGCTGTTGGAGTGTTAAAGCCACAAGTCAATAAATATTGGCAAAAGGCAAGGACCTCTAGAAAGAGCATGGCATTGTCTACGTCTTGATTTCAGCCCAGAGAAACTAATTGTGGACATCTGTTCCCCAGAACTGTGAGAGAACAAATTTCTCTTGTTTTAAGCCATCAAGTTTGTGACAGTCTGGTATAGCATCTATAGGGAATTAATGCAAATTTTGGTTCTGGGCAGTGGAGTACAGCAATACCTGAAAGTGTAGAAGTGACCTTAGAATAAGGAAAAGGGTAGAGGTTGGAAGAATGTTGAAAGGCATGGTAGAAAAATTCTAAATTGCCTTAAAATGTTGGTAGTGTCATGGATGTTAAAGATACTTCTAGTGAGGCCTCTGGAGGGAGTGAAGAAGAAACAGGGCTGAGAAAGCTGCTTTCATCTTTCGAGAATATGCACATCATAAAAGAGCGAATGGGGGTAGAAATAAGGACAATAAATCCCCTTCTGGCAAGTACCCAGAAGAAAATGAATATATTATTGAAAACTACAGGAAAAGTGTCCCTTGTTACATAGTAGCAGAAAGCTTATCATCTGAATTGTGTCTTAAATTGTGTGAAAAGCAGAACCTACAACCAATAAATTTGTATATTTAGAGGAGGAGATTTCCAAGGAAAGTGTTGAAGGTGCAGCCTGGCTTCATTTTGCTGTTTATGGTAAAATATGAGAGGAAAAATATAAACTGAGGAAGAAACTATTAAGGAAAAAAAAAAAACAGATCATGTTGTTTTGGAATTTCTCACTCTATCAGATACAGAAGATACTAAAAGTAAAAAAATGCATGTTAGAAAATCATGCTCTAGAGAAAAGTCCAGGAGAAGGGCCACGTACCTGTTTCTGAAGAGAGTGAGTCTGTGACTCTGGATCCATTCTGTCATCTCAGCAGCAGTCAGAAATAAAGATGAGATCACACCAGATGGATATGTGGAGGAGCCTCTTATCTAATGGTGTGCATCGTGTAACATGCCCATGGGTTTTTAGAGTATTAAAAAAGCAGAAGTACTGCCAGCTTGGACTAAAAAGATAGAAGACAAAAATGAAAGAAAGCTGACACTCAAAACAAGCTGATAAAACAAAGCAGCTGCAAACCTGTGCTATCTTCCTGTAAAGGGGAAGACCCACTCCGAGGTCAGATCCTTGGACCCACAGGCCCAGGGCAAAGAGCTCAATAGCCAGAGCCAAGGACCCAGGGCCAGAGCCTCAAGCCCCAGAGAATTATTCCCAGATCTTGACACCTAATGGAATCTGCCCGTGGCCAAATTTTGAAATTGCTTGGAACAAGTAACTCCTTTCTTCTTGTTTTTAGAATGAGAGTACCAATAAATGTTGTCCTGTGCTTATCCCATCGTTGTATTTTAGAATTAGATACCTTGTTTTCTAGTTTCGTAAGTCCCTAAGTGAAGAGGACTGTTGCCACAGAGTGGATTATAACCATAACCAGTGCAATTCAAACCTGACTTAGATGATGTGATTTGGGACTTGGAGTTGATAAGATTTAGAGGACATTTTAGATTTGAGGGGATGTTGTGGTTTGAGGCTTTCGTAGATGTTGGAATGAAGTGAATATGGTTTGCATGTGGGACAGCCATGAGTCTTCAAGGGACAGAGGGCACACTCTGGTAAGCTGCAAGTGGCCTTCCCGAAAGATATCCATGCCCTAATATCCGGGGCTTCTAAATGTTAATCTTACTGGAATGAGGATCTTTGTAGATCTGATTAAATTAAAAATCTTGCAGCAGAGACTTTTTGTGGATTATCTGAGAGGACCCTGAATGCATCCTTATTTGAAAGAGGCAGATTGGGATTTAACACAAGCACAAGTGAAGACAAGCCATGTGTGGAGATGCATGCCGGTCATCCCAGCACTGAAGAGGCGAGATAGGAGGATTGCTGCGAATTTGAAGCCAGCCTACACTACATAGTGAGACCCTGTCTCAAAAAAAGAAAGTGAAGACAAGCACATAGGGGAGAAGTGATGGGAAAATGAGGAAGGGAGGCACATCTCAGAATGGTGCACTACAGGCCAAAAATCACCAGTCTTCACTGGGAGCTAGAGAAGACTAGCAACAGATCCTTCCCTCTCACCTCCAGAGGACATGCAGCCTTGCTAACTTCTTGATTCCATCCCAGTGCAATAGATTTGAGACTTCTGTTCTCCAGGATGGTGAGAGAATCAATTTATGTTGCTTCGGGCCACCAAATCTGTGATAATTTCTTACAGCGGTTACAAGAAACTAATAAGGAGTATTCGCAGGCAGGGCCAGGGATGTACCTCAGAGGCACAGAGTCTGCTTGGTCCTGAGTACAAGGTCCTGAATTTGAACCTCGGTACCAAAAAAAGAAAAAAAGTCACAGGCAAAGACATTAAACGTGAATTTTTTTTACCGTGCTTTAAGTTCATTTACAGGGAAAAAAAATTGTTTTTAAGATGAATATTGTGAGAGGGATAGTACCAAGTATGTACTGAAAGAAAATGTCATTTCTTTAAAACAAATTCATATTACATCTTCGTCAGTTATCCTTTTTTATAAAAATTAAGTATATTATGCTCATTTATAGTTTACATTTGTTCCACAAGTTTTTTTTAAATCTTAGATAAGAGACCTAAAGTTCAGAAAAATGTAAAAAATTCTGGTGGAATCATTTGGTGACTATTAAATAATCAAATTGACTGACATTATGCTATGTACTCAAACTTCTTTATGTAATCATATTTAATAGGGGAGAATTGAGGAAGCAGTGAATGCATTTGAAGAACTGGTGCGCAAATACCCTCAGAGTCCACGAGCAAGATATGGGAAAGCACAGGTATCCACAACCCTTCTATTTCAAAAACTCATGCGTTGTCCATGTGTTCTTTGTGATCGGATTTTTCATTTTCCATAACTTTCATTTTCCATAACATGCATTTTCTCTGTGCCCCTTCTGGTTTCCATATAGAATGTTTCTCACATACATGCATAAACCCAAACAAAAAAATACCACTTTTGATATGACAATTTATTTTCAATATTGTGAACTTCTGACTCTAGTAACATCTTTGTGACTTCTTTCTAATTTTGAAAAGAAAACAAAGAGTAACACTTTTATTGATTTCCTGTCACCTCTACATCCCATTCCACTTAGCCCTGTAATGCAGTTTTCACTTCTGGCTCCTCTGTGCTATAAGATTGCAACTAGAGGTTGCAAGCATGCTTAACAGAGACTTTTAAGAAATATAAAGTGGAAGATACTTAGTTTTCTCCATCATTTCTTTCAACTGGCTCATTTCAACCTCCTCTCTATTTCCCACTGCCACCATCTCATCTGGGTTTCTTTATCCTCCAACCCCTTTTGTGAAGCTTAGACACACTGACTGTGACTGTATGAACCCACCTGTGCTATGTCCTGTTTTAGGCCTTGGGGCCATTTGTGTTGTACTCTCCTGAGAAGGTCAGTCAGATGTGGTCACTAAAGAAGACACAGGAAAGGTTCAGGAATAAAACGAAGATTACTGTATTCTTCTCCCAGACAGAAGGCCCAGCACGTCATGCAGGGCCACACTGGGAAAGATGCCGTGGTGGTCATGAGGCAGAGGGCAAGAATGACAGGAAGGCTTAGGCTACTGCCTTCCATAGGAATTGAGAGATGAGACTGGGTGAGCAGTTTAGGATTGGCTTTTTAAAATGACTGACGCAGCCTAGGAACTATAGTTGTAGTTCCCAGTTGTCATGGATGTGGCCTTAGGGTGAATATGGCAGAGGAATATTGCCTCTTGCGTGCAGATAGAGAAGCTCAAGCTCTGAGTTGCTTAGTTTGTATATCAAAAGCTTCCCTGCTCTCTCTCTCTCTCTCAGATGTCTAGCCTTAGGAGAGCCATTTCTCCCCAGCCAGAGAGGTTTTCTAGGAAGTCAAGCATCATCAGAAAATTGAAAAACATATACAGTATAATGAACAATCTAGAGGTCTCTATCCTTGTAGATCTTATATTCTAGTGGAAAACATTTTTTTAAAATTACTGCTAAAAAAATATTTAGTGTGAGGCCTCTCTATGCCAGGTCTGTTCTAGGCATTGAAACTATAGCCACCAACAAAATCTAATTAAAAAATCCTCTGCCTTTATGGTGTTTCCATCATAAAAGGGAAGACAATTTTGTAAGACAAATAGGTACTATATATGTTTGCTAGTGATAGATGCTGAGAAGAACAAAAATATAGGGCCGGGGATTTAGCTCAGTGGTTCTGCCGCCTGCCTTGCAAGCGCAAGGACCCGAGTTTGATCCCCGGTACCAAAAAAAGAACAAAAATATGGCAGAAAATAGCCACTGGACATGTGAAAGTGTTGAAATGGTGAAAAGGGTGACAGAGAAAGGTCTCTCCAAGCAAGTAACATTTGAGCAAAGCTTTGAAAGTCCTTATAAATAAATACCTATTTAAAGAATATTTATAAACTGTTAAAAATAACTACATTGTATCGTATTAATAATAATACAGCCTGCAAGGAAAAAAAAACGAGGTAACTGAACAAAGAACATTATCTATTGTGATGTTTCAGTTATAGGCAGTATGATTGAAAGTGACAGGGCAGATGGCATTGTAGATAAGGTGGTCAGAAAGGGCTCTCTAGGGAGGTGACATGTGTCTGAGATGTGACAAGATTGTGAAAGGAGATGTCCAGGCAGAAAGAACAGCAAGGAAAAGGCCAGGATGTAGGGAAACAGTCTTGGGATAATAAGCCCACACAGAAAGAACGGCATGCTGAGGGAGGGGGAGGAAGACAGGGTGGCCAGGGCCTTGAGGATTTTATTCTACATGTTGAAGAAAGACTTTGGAGGGTGTTTTGCATGGGTGTGATAGTCTGGTTGTTTTTCATGAAGAATGAGTTGGTCTGGATTATGGGGCAAAAGTAGATATACGAAGGACAAGAAGCTGTGTCAGTGTACGCAGGAGGACATCTTGTGGCCTGACTGTGGTCAAGGCCATGGAGATGGAGGAAAACAAAGGACTTGGTGATGGATTCGACTGAAAGATCAAAGAAAGGGAGTATTCAAGGTTCAATTCTGATTTTTCTGTTTGACTAGTTGAGGAGACGATAGTACCAGGTACTTACTAGGAAAAACAAGTTTGGATGGATACTGAGATAAAAAGATCACTTTCAGTCTTGTAAAGTTTACAGTGCTTATTAGACATTCAAGTGGACGTATCAAGTGAACCACTGGATTTATGAAGTTTGGAACTTAAAAGCCAGAGCTGGTATATAGAAATGTGTTAGACATTAAAGCTCCAGTATCCTTCCTAGGGGTATGAAACTGTCAGTCATGCTGAGAAACAGTAGGTACAGAGCTACAGAAATGTTTCAGACTTGGAGGAACCAGACTGTATTGGGGGGTGGGGGGGGTTGCCTACCAGCACTTGTGTGTAACACTCCCAGCTACTGATAGCTCTACAGAATAAACAGCACATCTTACTCTGAACTAAAGATGGTGGTCACTTGAGATCCAGGTGCTCAAATTCTATCTCATGAGAAAGTAATTAATTACATTTGATTAATTAAATGTTTAACAATCAAGTTTGTGAAAAAATGAATGTCCATGTTACAGACCAGGCCTAGGAGACAGCAACTATGATTTTTGTAAATTGTTCTGGCCAGTAATCCTCTAAAATTCTAAATTATATATACATTAAGTAAGAGAGAATGAGTTTGTTACCAAAAGACTATGCCTGTTCTGCTAAGTGATGTGTGTTGTATTAAGTCCTTATTAGTATTAGGTATTAATTAAGTCCTTTGATTAAGGAAAACATATCAACAAGAGAAAATGGGTTTACACATTCTAATTTAATTGTGGCAAAAATATTTTATGCTTTGAAATTTTTTCTTTATGTGTGATTTTTTTTTTTTTTTTTCTGGAACTGGGGATCGAACTTGGGTCCTTCCATTTGTGAGGCAGGCGGTGGAACCACTGAGCTAAATCCCCGGCCCTATGTGTGATTTTGATTGTGCATACCAAAGTCTAAATAAATGTAGTGCTTTTGAAACATAGTGATTGCTGTATTTATATTCTTATTTCACAGAAGGAATTTGAGATTTAGGCCTCAGGCAATATTTTCTATCTCTAAATATTATGCTACAGATGTTATTGATATTAACATTAATGTGTCATAAAGCAAAATTTAGGCATGGTAAATTAAATTTAAATAGAATAATTTAAAGGAAAATTTAAAATCATAAGACTTTTAAAAGTAAAAGTTCAACAGAAGATGGATTTAATAGGGATGAATTAATTATGACTTTCATTCTTTGTTGCCAGATTAAGCAATTACTGTAGAGTATCCAAACAAACTTTTAAAATTCAGCAACATTAAGCCAAATGCAATCCACAGCATCTATCATTTCTAAAGTAGGATGGATATTGACTAATCCTTGGGATCACTATAAAAATCAATTTTGATCAAGCTCCCTAAAGACTGGACACAAAATCTTGAATTATAAACTCAAATCATGTTATTATCTTTCACAAACCATGAATGCCTCTATGGCCAAAAATGACACTTCTCCTAGCAAGGTTGGCAAGATGAATTATTTCATCAGTAAAAGACTGTGAGATGTTCATGTCATGTTTTTTTCCCCCCATTAAGTTTATTGGTACATTTTAGTTATAAAATACAGTTACATTCATCATTGGGATCTTGTACCATTACATGAGTATCTTGATTCTTATTTTTTTCCCCTTCCCCTGCCCTCCCTTCACCCCATCCACCTTTCCCTATTTGCAAAGACTTTGTTTCCATTTTTATCATTT